ATACATTCTAAACACCCTGTGCATAAGGATAGCTATAAAAACATGTAATACCAAGAGTGCTTAATGCTCTATAGAGTGAACATATCCCTTTTAATTCCCCAGTCAATCTGAACAAAGAAAAAAAAGTAAATAAAGTGGACACATAGAAGGGAAAAAAATAGGTACGCCCACCCGACGCACATTTTCCCCGCAATGCTGGGACATCAGAAGTTCTAAATCTTATTATACCAATTGGACTTTAAATAGCATGTCCCTACTCCTGATTGGTGAAAGATGTAATCATGTGATCAACTTAAAAAAGAGTAAACAGTGTATCCTATTGTAATGATATTGATGTTACAAAGTTTTGGAGTCCAGTAGCCAGATCAGCAATGTTTTCTGCCAGAGGTAGCCACTCGTTACCCAGGTGGTTGAGCCCCTGAGCCTTGAGTGGCCTTCTGGTCTTAAGCAGAGATGGGAGACTGGAACAGAAAGATGATAATCGTAGTGAGGCAAGCCGAGGTCAGTGGGAAGGAGAAGCAGCAAAGTCAAAACAGTCCAAATTCAGCAACAGGAAGGAGAAACAGGAACACGCTTGATTAGAGAGTACAGGAACCACAATAATCTGGCAAAGGTACAGAGACAGGAAGTGGCTTTTATAGGCCAAGAACCAGACACCTGACCAGACACAGCTGAAGAGAGTTGTCACGGATAACCTTGACTCTACAAGCAATGGTATCAGATCTCAGGTAAATTTGCAAAAGGCAGGCTGGTGTACTTGTAAGGAAGAGGTTTAGCACCATGTAAACCAGGGTTCGTAAACCCAGCAGAGTCAGTTCCTCACACCTATTGTTATCCCAATAATGGATCCACACAAAGCTGTATACCATGCCAGAGGAACCCGAAACCATGCTTTGAGCTTTACTTTGGTATATGATAGTTTAGGCAGATTTGGACATTATGTGTGGGAAATAACTACGGCCCTAGTGATGGATTTGGGTATTACATGCTGGGAATCACATCTATTTTGATTTTTAGTAGTTACTTAGTGTACATTCTCGACACCTGTTTTTATCCTCATTAATATTTTTTTCTTTGGGGATCTTTATGGACTCCTGTTATTAGTCCTATTTGGGATGCTGTGACACTCTTCCGTATATTTTTTAGTTCATTATCAAAAGTTTGTTCATGGCAATAGATGCCTGTTTAAGCCTCAATAAATTTGTTTTAAACAAGAGTTTGGACATCTTCCATGTCAAGAATTTGGATGCCTGCCACATTTTTCTTTTTTTTTTATAAATATATGCATGGCGGTTCAGTCATTTTAACTGGATGATTCCGGAGGCAAAAGTTGTTATATATGAAAATCTCTAAATCTAATGGAAAATATTGCAGGTATGTAGACATTTTGTGAGAAAACTGAATTTTGGTTTTATTTCACATCTAGATATGAATATATGAGTGCTTGATATCTGGAGTGGACCACGGGTAACCTGAACAGGTTACCTCCGCTAATTACTTTCCTTCAGCTGGTCAGGAAACATCTAGAGTATGAAGAGACCTATTTCTCCCCCAGTACCTGGATGACACACAGTCCTGGAGGTACAACACAATTTTATTGGCCACACACGGCTTTTATGCAGATCCCCATGCAAGAGGTCTCCCACACAACCGTACAGGTTCAAATCCCAGGATCCTTCCCCTCCTTGGGGCCCTAGCTCGCAAAGAGGATTTTGTTCCCTTTGTCCCCAAAGCCCACCACTAAAACACAGGGTTCTCCACACCGGACTCCAGGGGGTCTTCTTCCCAGGAGCCTCTGTGCCTGGGAGTCCAGGAACAGAAAAAAGGGACTGTCACCTTGTCTCCCATGCAGAGAAAAGCCCGCCCATGGGAAAAGAGCTAGTCTCTTTATCCCTCAGGTACAGGAAAGCCCACCAAACCCACAAGTGTCCACACCAATCTCAAGGACCCGCACAACGGCTCCTCTCTCGACTAGCCTCCATTCTAGGTGAAACCCAGACTAGGGAAGCATCTCCTTTTGGGTACGAATGCTCCCCCTGGCCGCTGCCCTTTGGCACAAATGGCGGCCACCAAGGGGAGCACTTATTAACGTTCTGGTTAATTGGTATGAGCGTTCTAATGGGGCACTGGGGAGGTCCTCATTCGGGGAACGAACAAGATGGGAAACAACCCACGAATGCTCCCCCTGGTTGGAGTTCATCTAATGAAATGGCAGCCTTGCGGTTTGCGGTTTGAAACATAGAAACATAGAAACATAGAATGTGACGGCAGATAAGAACCATTCAGACCATCTAGTATGCCCAATTATCTAAATACTTTCATTAGTCCCTGGCCTTATCTTATAGTTAGGATAGCCTTATGCCTATCCAACGCATGCTTAAACTCCTTTACTGTGTTTACCTGTACAACTTCAGCTGTAAGGCTATTCCATGCATCCACTACCCTCTCAGTAAAGTAAGTTTGACACTTATGTTACAAGGTGAGAGCGTTCTAACCAAGCGTTCTAAATGAGGTATCGGGATGGTACCCGTTCAGGAGGTAAATTAATTCCCTTTGTGGAAGCACACCCGAACTGGGAGCGGGCACACTACACGAAAGGATAGGGAAACATGCATAATATAAAATGGGAAATTCACAAACAGGCAGTGGTTCCACCACAACATCATTTGATAGTCATGCCAACACATCGTATTAATTGACAGCTTTATGCAACATTAAATACACTTTGAAGTGCAATATCTACTTAAATATGCTTAATATACAACGTTTAATGTGTTTAACCCCTTAAGGACCAAACTTCTGGAATAAAAGGGAATCATGACATGTCACACATGTCATGTGTCCTTAAGGGGTTAAAGGGCACTCAGACCACAAAACATCTCAATGAAGTTGTTATAGGGCATGGAATTCCAAGGAAGAATCTTACCATACAGTGTTAATCCGTATTCGAACAGTTTAACACCAACATTTTGGCCTCTTGAATTGGCTAGTAGGCAACAACTGGTTCTCTTAGCCTACCGCTGACTTACCATTGCACGTAACAGTATATTTCTCAAAAAGTGCAACTCCGACCTCATAATAACTTTACTATCTTACCTTCAATTGTCAACCCATTCTAGTACAGGTTAATACCAGAGTCTGCTTGACTAATACAGACGTATTGACTTGGGAGGCCAGAAATAGGCTGAGAGTGACAGTTGATGATCTCAACATACTTACACCTAGCTGCCCATTGATAGTTATAGTATGTGCTATTATGCACAATGGGCGACCAGTGATAGGTTGAAAGCATCAGTTGGGCTGGCTGTGCAAGCTGATGTATTCCTATTAGTTGAGCGCCCAAGGTGAAGAAATAGGAGGCAGCATCACAGATTCCTGGGGATATAACTGCAGTGTTAAACCATTTGAAAACGGTTCAATACTTAAAGGTAATAAGGCACCTAGGTATGCAACACCCGATAACAACATGTAATAAAGTTTTTGTGGGGCTGGAATAGGCATGGAGTGTCAATAGGGGTAGGAATTGCATTCCCTATACAACGAAAAGTTTAAGCTATGGTTGTATCTTCTTTATCTCTCTTTAGCCCACCGCAATGCGTTTTGTGTTTGTCTCTGAAGCTATTATTTTTCAGGTGCTGAAACAGTAAAAGATTTACTTTTCGAATAATATCATATTAAATGTATTTAATTAAAAAATCTGAAGCATGAGTCAGTTAAAGTCAGCCTATTAATATTTCAAGGTCATTTTTTAATGTTATGAAGTCTGGTTTAAGTGCTTCTTCAAACAGTCACATCAATTTTGTTAAACAATTCATGCATATTAGTCTTTCAATTCAAAATAAGCAAAATAGCTGCCTAATTGCAATATTTACATTTAAATAGTTAGTTTTGCACGCTGAAAGAACTTAAAAATTTTAACTTTTTTGATAGTTTTTTTAATAAAAAAAGATTTAAAAAAATATCAAAATAAAGTTTGGATCAAACTGATAAAACATGGGGTGCATGCTGTCACTAATTGCTACAGCTCCACCTACAGTTCAGTCTACAAAACATACTCATTATAATAAATCATTGCTGCTCCAAAAAAGTAGCCACTGTTGAAAAAAATAACATTATAGTAAGAAGATTATTATTACCTATTTTTTTATTAATAAACAAAAAGGACGAAGCACAGGATTTTACAATACACACAATGTAAATGTTACAATACTAGCAGAGTCACCTAACTACTGCTGTGAAAATCTGTTGGATACTCGCTACTTATATACTAATAGTACTGCTACCTTTGTTTTTGTCATTGTTTGCTGACAATTCTGTTATGTATCTTACGCAAGACAAATAAAAAATGAAAATGAAGGGGGGCGTGTCCTGACCGCTGACAAGGACGGACGTGTGTGATTGAGTTCCACTCCATATCAGCCCAACAAAGCAACTCAACCTGCAATTAAACCGGCATATTAAGCCTAAACCTACACCTACATATGGCCCAAAGCAAGAGGAAGAAGAACCCCTGGCAAAGGGGACAAAAGTAGCTTCTTCACAGCCAGATATCAGCTGTCGAAGATCTCTGGGCCACGGGACTGTGACCAAGATATACTGCAGGTATGCCTGAAAGAAATATCTGACAAACTGCTCCACAACTTCAACAGGACCATGGCTGACTTCAGGAAAGATGTGCAGGAGCTGGGGAAGAGAACCGTGCGTGCATAATGACATGGCGGATCACATCCAGAAACTTGAGCACCAACTTTAGACCTATCAAGTAAAGCTGATGAATCTTGAAGACAGATCCCGCAGACACAATATTAGGCTGCGAGGTATACCAGAAGATATACAGCAAGCTAATATCTTGGAATTCCTGATGGGATACTTCAAAACTCTAGTCCCAGACTTTCCGTCTGGACTGTGCTCACAGGGTTGCAAAACCGAAATTCCTGTCGGAGGAGACATCCAGGGATATTTTAACCTACCTGACCTACTTTCATGGCAAATAAGCAATTATGAAAGCCTCTAGACAACACAAACATATGCCTGACCAATACCGCTCCATACAGCTTTTCACTGACCTTTCTGCACTCACACTACAGAAGAGATGGAAATACAAAGACGTGACAGATGCCCTCCAAGCACAGAACATGCCTTATATATGGGGGCACCCGGTCCGCCTGTTGATCCACAAAAACGGAACTCTGACTACTGTCACCTCCCCTGATGAAGGAAGGAAACTCCTCAAGAGATGGGGGAGGCTACAACAAAGAGGGGACAAGCAAGCGTCACCGCCCCGACTGCAACCAGAATGGAGGAAGGCGAGAACCTGAGGACTGAGCCTGATAGTTTACCTGCTAAAGCTGACATACCAACATGCGGTTGCTCCCGTCAGGGCCGTCTTTAATATTGATTAGGCCCTGGGCAAGCATTTGCTTGGGCCCCCTGGATCCACTCCCTAGCATGCAATCACGCCTCCACCCCAACGCAGTGGGCGAACTAAAGTAGAAAGAGCCCTGGTGCAAGAATTTCATTTGGACCCCCAATTGCAAGGTTGGAAAGAAGGTAGAACCCTATCTGTCATGCAACTCCAACAATGCATTGACAGCTGGGGCTCTACCAATTTCTCATGCTTGCAGGGTTGTATTTAGCACTGTGTTTGTGTGTTTGAATGTAAGCATGTTTTTGTATGGAGTATGTTTGTGTGAATGTGTTTGTATGTGGTGTTAGAGTTTGAATGCAAGTGTACATTTAAGTGTAGTGCTGGTTTTTGAATGTAGGGGTTTGTTTATATATAATTTTGGTGTTTAACACAGAGGTGTGTTTGTATGAAGTGTTGACTTTCAATGCAGGAGTGTGTTTGTATGTAATGTTGAAGTTTGAATGGAAGGGTGTATTTGTATTTATTGTTTGTGCTCAGACACAGGTAGACATGCTGACACACAAGCAGATACACACACTGACTACATACAGATACGCACACAGATAAACACACAGACATACAGATACACAGACAGATAAACTGAGAAATACTGACACACATAAATACATACAATGATAGACATACTGACACACACACTGACACAAACGGTCTCACAGGCACATACGATGACAAACATACTGACACACACACAGGCACAAACACTGATAGACATACTGACACACACACAAACAGGCACATATACAGACATACTAACACACACACACAGTATCTCTATCAGCGTATGTGGCTGTGTGTGTGTCAGTATGTCTGTATATGTGCCTGTGTGTGTGTGTCAGGATATCTATCAGTATAAGTGCCTGTGTGTGTGTGTGTGTGTGTGTGTCAGTATGTCTGTATATGTGCGTGTGTGTGTGTGTCAGTATGTCTATCAGTGTATGTGCCTATGTGTGTGTGTCAGTATGTTTGTCATTGTATGTGCCTGTGTGTGTCAGTATGTCTATTAGTGTGCCTGTATCAGTATGTATATCAGTGTATGTGCCTGACACACACACACACACACACATACACTGGAAGACATACTGACACACAGGCACATACACTGGCAGACATACTGACACACACACATACACACTAATAGGCATACTGACACACAAACAGGCACATACACTGACAGACATACTGACACACACAGACCTTCTGACACACACACAGATACAGACACTGTCAAACATACTGACATACACACATACACTATCAGACATACTGACATACACAGACACACACAGACATACTGACACACACAGACATACTGACATACACAGACACATACACTGTCAGACATACTGACACACACACACACACAGACATACTGACATACACAGACACATACACTATCAGACATACTGACATACACAGACACATACACTGTCAGACATACTGACACACACACACACACATACATACTGACATACACAGACACATACACTATCAGACATACTGGTACACACAGACACATACACTATCAGACATACTGACACACACAGACACATACACTATCAGACATACTGACACACACAGACACATACACTATCAGACATACTGACACACATACACACAGACATACTGACACACACAGATACATGGACAGACAAACTGATATACATGTAAAATTTACATTTTAAGCCCACCCTCCAGTTTCCTACCTTTTGTTGGAGGGTGGCATCCCTGGGATCCAGTGTGCTGCCTGAGGATGATGTGAGTGAGGAGCCCCCATCCTCCCTGCCTCCTCCTCCCTCCCGTACAGGTCCTTCTTCTCCCGCGCAGCAGCTCTTTATGGGAGGAAGTGACGCTTGGCACTCACTTCCTCCCAGCAGTGCCGAAAAGCAAGAGGCCCGGTCGCGCTGATAAAGGGCCACAGCGCCCGACCGGGCCCCTGCTGGTACAAGCCCCACCGGGTGGCCCTAAGTGCATGGGCCACCCGGTGGGACTCCTTACAGTGCAGGGGGGCCCTAAAGCGGCCAGGAAACATTTTTTTTTTTTTTTTAGGGCAGCGGGGCCCACGGGACAGCTGCCTCCGGCCCCCAGGAGTAATTGGGCCCGGGGCAGCTGCCCCGTTTGCCCCGCGTTAAAGACGGCCCTGGCGCCCGTGATCTGAGTACCAATGCATATTATTGTTTTCTACCACTGTTCAATTGAGAAGATCTGAGTCTTATAATTTAATTTAACCCCCACAGTACAGGGGTTCCTGCTAGAGATGGGATCGGCTAATTACTGTTCTGTGTAAGGGGTATACCCAGCAGAAAAAGGATAGGGACACTGCTTTAAAGCAAATAACTGTAGAGCAAATTACTGAATCACCCAGGCCCTAACCTGATGAACTCAGGATTCAATTTGCCACAGCGATGTCCACTAACCTATCTACCCAAACCACCCAAGGTATTTGTATTATACAATCTTTAACCATGTCCCGCACAATAACCGTGACCCAAACTTAAGCAAGGCAAGGCCCTAACCCAAAGGGTATGCAGCCCCAGCATTTATTGTCCCACGCTAATGTTATTTTACATAACACAAAAAAAGCAGAAAAAAAATAAATAAATATATATATATATATATATATATATATATAAATAAATAAATAATAAACAACATTAATAAATAAATATAAAAAACAATATATATATATATATATATATATATATATATATATATATAAAAAAAAATGTTTACTGCCTGTTGCAGAAAATGGCTCCTGAACCCCCTCATATACCTGAAGAACGAAGTTTGACAGGGTACTGCACCCGCTACCTATCCCACTCACAGAGTACCACATTGGTTGATAAATCCATGCAATTGAAGCCCGATTACATGTTACTGGCTTTAGTACTCTCATAAATTGCCTTATACTACCTGAACTGGGAAAATTGTTATGTTACTGTATGCAAGCTAAGGTGACAAGCTGGTTCCCAATATAGACGAATGTTGGGCCGACAACCCCCAATGACAACTCAACTAAAAAATTACCACTCTCCCACATGGTACCTGGATTACAGTACATCGCCCGTACTTGGGCTAACTACTCAACTTTTAGGCTGTTATTCTTGTTTCTTTAACCCCCCCATTCTCCGTTACCCCTTCCATCCCCCTTAGTGTGGAATCTGCTGGCTCTAAGCCCAACATAATGGATCATAACCACCGGTTATAATGTGCCCGGTTGGGGTGACATCTTCTGTCATAAAATATCTGACTCTACGCGCCTACATGGCAGGCACACAAACCAGTCATAAGAGGCCTTTTCATGAGGAAGACATCACAATTGAAAAGAGACAGCCAAGCCCAATGGGTGCTCTGGCACAAAAACCTACATGATCTTAAAACCAAAAAATAAAGCCCAACCTAGTAGCAAGTTGAAGAAAGAGATCAATGACATACTGAACAAAATCAAAACACATACCCTAAAACAAGTAGGATTTAACCTCCGTAGATTAAAAAACAACCAATACTCACAGGGCAACAAGGCAAGCAAAACACTTGCACTAAGACTGAAGCAAACACAATACTAAAATCCCATTATAAACACTAACAATTAAAAATGTATATCACCCGTAGACATCAGCAATGCCTTTGCATCATGCTATGAAAATCTCTATAATCTAGCAAAATCTTATCACATACATACACCAACTGAACAAGAGTTAGCAAATTACTTAGCGGATATTAAGCTACCACACCTCAGTACTGACCATATTGAGGTCCTCCAAAGCCCTATCTCCCCTGCTGAAATTGAACTCACCATACAATCGCTGCCACCCCACAATGCTCAAGCCCTGACGGGTTCACAAATTTATATTATAAAAAATTCAAATCAGTGCTCGCCCCCCAACCCCCCTTTAGCATCCCTGTTTAACTCAACCACTCACAAATGCTCCTTGCCCTGCTAGCACATGTTGTCACACTCCGAAAGCCCGTCAAATCACCGACCTATTGCCCCAACATTCGGCCGATCTCCCAGCTAAACACGGACGCAAAGCAAAGCTGGAGAATGCTCTTTCAAATGAGGTACGACTCTATGTAACAAGCTTTTTATTCTTATAAAATTAAAGTTCTGGGATAATGGGATGCTGAAAACAGTGCAAAGATTGTTAAAGGACATAATATTATTTCCATCAAATAGATCTGAAATTCTCTTAATACCGTGTCTAGTCCACTGACTGACGTCTATATTTTCTATCCATTTCCTCAGATATCTAAACTGTAATGCCAGCAAAATTTTATCTTTCAAATCCATTTGTTTTTTAAAATAAGTCCAGTATTTAACCTGAGATTTTAATATTATGTTGTCTGTTTGACATAACATATTTATTACGGGCTAAAATTTTTATAGGTCACATCAGTTTAACTATATTATGTGGTTCCGAAATATCCTTTCCCTCTAATTCATACCAATCCTGTGGATGTGTGTCTTGATAAATTGTAGTTACTGTATGCATCAGCTGGGCAGCTTGATGATACAAAAAAATATTAGGAAATCCTGTTCCCCCTTGTTTATATTTTAAATACATAAGTTCTTGTCCTATTCTAGGCTTCTTGTTAAGCCAAATATAATTTCTGAAAATCTTATTAAAGGACCACTATAGTGCCAAGAAAACATACTCGTTTTCCTGGCACTATAGTGCCCTGAGGGTGCCCCCACCCTCAGGGACCCCCTCCCGCCCGGCTCTGGAAGGGGAAAGGGGTAAAAACTTACCTTTTTCCAGCGCTGGGCGGAGAGCTCTCCTCCTCCTCTCCGCCTCCGTTACGCCCCGCCGGCTGAATGCGCACGCGCGGCAAGAGCTGCGCGCGCATTCAGCCGGTCTCATAGGAAAGCATTTACAATGCTTTCCTATGGAC